AGGAATTGAGGAGATTCTCAATTCGTCTGTATGTTTTTTTTTTAATTTATGTTATTTCGTAACTCCTGGTTGTCCGATTTTCATAGTTAAAGGTTTTGCGTGTGATTTGGTTCACTTGTATTATAAAATTAAAAAGTATCCGGTAGTTTTTGAGTTATTCTTATAAGGAAAATATATTCTGAAGTTTATTTATTATTTTATTTATTTTATACATAAAATGTAAAATATTTTATTGCAGTGTACAAATAATTTAACTTTTGATGCTGTCACAATATTAAATAGGGCAATCAATCAATTGCTTATTTTTTCCCTAGTGCATGAAATGCACATACAGCACAGCGCGGCGCGGCGCGGCGCGTGCATCCGATATTTGTTTTTTATTTTCGTTGTGCATCCATTAGTCCGGAAACGGCCATCGATCAAAAGCACAATTCCAATTTACCTATCGCCCACAAATTCTTCAAAAACGACTGTACCACTATCCGATCTCGCACAAATACTGATAAAAAATAAATTGCTGCCGCTGTCCGGCGACTTTATTTTTTATGTTTGACATTTACATTCCGCCATTTTGAATTATTTTAAACATTCTCGATGCTTTATTAAATTGTTTGTCATGTCAAAATAATATTCTCTTTTCACAATTCTGGCTTTTGTAATGTTATGAATGTTTACCCTTTTCTAACAGTGAGTTTCCGAGTCCAAAATCTTCATTTAAAACATATTGTTATCTCTGCGTTGTCAAAGTTAATGACAGTGATGACGATATGCTTTATACAGAAATTTTACTCTCAGAAACCAACGGTAAAACAGCTCTAAGGGAAAGGAATAATTTTACTGGCCATATTGGTCGTATTATTTTGACTTTAATAAGCGATATTTATATTAAATACTTCACCGCTAACATTAAGTACTGTGTGATTTAAACTTCTTCGTATTTACACGATGAACTCTTGTTATTTTCATAATATAATCTAATACATTCAATAGTTAATGTGTGATTTGATCGGCATCTTGTAACATAGTTAAATAAAGCGTTAAGCAGGTAATCAGGTTATTCTATCATTAGACAGAGCCATTGCTTTATCTCATTTGTTATAATCATTTATTGATGAGCTGGGAACGAACATAATCTCTGTCTGACCTCGTTGTTGTCTTGTTGTGTCTAATGATCGCCGCCATCTTTATGAATGTAACAAAATTAGTTTGCAGTTTTAGTTTTTCTATTCGACATCCATAATAGTGTATTAGTCAACTTTTAAATCAGAAAGTAGAAAGAAACAGTTTACATCCAGCAAATAAATATATTCAAAAGTCTACTACATATTTTATCACAGACTTTCCAATATACTACTTCCAAGACATTATTACATACTAATTTAAACATCTTATACTAGGACTTTTAACTATTATAACTGTATATAATCTGCGTTTAAGTTTCTAAAATCAAAATGTTTTAAAGTATTTCCCATGTTGAATATCATTGACGATTTGTTAAATTAAGATAGTATTGTGGAGAGGGTGACAACGGATTCGATAGCCAAAGCCGATAGCGGACATTAGCAGGAACAAATCGGCGGCGTCACCAAAGGGTGGCGCTAAGCTCCGTGACAAATGACTGCCGACTCTAATGATGCACACAGCTTCACCACGATCGGGTTAACTATCCTCAGATATAGATAGTGCTTCATCTCACAGAATTTATATAAATTACAATGATCATTGGGATAATACCACTCGACTGTCATCTGTTAATATTCAATCTGTTAACTATGAAATTAAACATAATCCTACTTCTGCACAATACCATAACCTAGATAATATCAAAGAAATAAAACTGATGTTATTACCAACATAAAAGGTATAATGTCGAAATAGTCTATTGAATAATAAAAATAATGACACTGTATATGTCAGTAAAAACTAATAAAAGCATTCATACAAACATCATATCATAACAAGTAATAATGTATTATAACGTCTCAATCATATTCAATACAACCGCTCTGTACTTTGTATTTCAATGAAAAGCTCATTAATTACATATAATAATTAATGACGTACTCAAATAATACCGACAATTCTCCTACATTTTAATAATAGTGTAATAAAAAGCGATGCGTGCGCAGTTTTGACTTATCATTCGAATTAATAATCCGAGAAGCAAGATGGCGGACGCGCTAAGACATTTTTATTTCCCGCCACTGAAAGCGCATTATCTCTATCGAGCCATTACAGACCTCTCTTGTGAAAAATAATAGATATTCACATAATTATCCCGACCCTCCTCAAGAGAATGAGACGGCGACACTCTACCGGCTAAGATAGAGCGGGATATACTGCGTCACTCGTTTCGTCTCGTAGCACTTAAGTAATTGAATACAGGGGTAAGTTGGGGTATAAAGGAGAACTGGAAAATAATAATATAAGTAATAATGTTGTTGGTTCGCGTGAAAGAGCCCAACTTGTTTAGTTGCGTCGTAAATAGAATAATAAACATACGTCTTTCCGTTAGATATGGGGAAAGTCCTCGAGTGGAGAGCGGCTGTTTGCACAACTTTCCATCGACTGTCACAGACTGACTGGATACAAGTTTCACATTTACTTAATGCTAGCATATTTAAAAATTACTTTAAAATACGTGTTACAATTTTTTTTATTCCTAAGTCCATTTTGTCATATGATTTTATTAACTTGCTACTATAGGCAGTAACTTACACCTAACATGACGTTAAGGGATCATTTTTTTTTTACTCACGACTCATTTCTCACCGAAATAGACCGAAACAAAACTTATACAATATTAAACCAATATTTTTATGATAAAAAATAGAATAGGAAAAAAAGCAATAGAAGACGTTGGTAGTCCGTACAATTCATGTATCGTGCATTGTAAAGGCAAATGGCGCGAAAATAACGCGCTCGTCCGCCATGTTTGCTCGCAGCCTTTATTGCGGATGTCCCGGCTCGCTGACTTTATGCGATACTATTGATGTATCAGCTAACGTACAGATTGTGTGTTTATTATGTGTGTGTGTTGTCTGACGTTTTGTCGATTTATTTATGTCATATTCTTTAATTGTTTGTCTTTTCCCTTTTATGTGTTTCTATGTTACGTCAAGCAATTTCACGGATATTTCCATCTTAAGAAGACCAAATTTGATTGCTGAAAGTTTGTTAGGTTACTTTAGACTCTTTATCAAGACCTAGACTTGGTAACTACGGTTAAGTAACTTTAACTTCATAGAACTTGTGTACTATAAGTAACAAAAGAAGTCTCCAATTTTTGATCACATTTCAACAACCTAGAAGGATCATGTTGCTAACTTTAAACAAAGTTGATGTGACGTGTCCGCCGCCGCGCCAGTGACGTATTTATGACGTCATTTAGCTGGGCGGTTGAGGTACTAATTAATAACACGGCCATCATAATATCGTAAGCTTTTGTTGCACCTACAACCTGTCTTACATCATTAGTGGCTTTGGTTTTTTGCGAAGATAATTTTTAAGTATTGTAGGGCTATAGGATCTACAGTTATTTATAGTAACGACTGCACATTTTTAATAAGAGACTTATTTATCAGCACAACAGTAGTCTTAAGTGAAGTTATCTTAAGAAGAAGATTCATCGCAGTTCCGTCTGACTGGAAGATCTGACCAATACACAGACTTATTTCCTTGAGTTCATATTATTCCCTTCAACACTTTCGCTTGCCACTAAGCACAAGTTGCTAATCTTAATAAGGCTGTATTAACACGAGGTCGTAATGCCCTCCCCACGCAACACCGCAACAAAGCCTCAGAGTGCTACAGCTTACCCAATACCGAATGCCGATAACAATTGCAAAGGAGACATCGACACCGCAAGTCGTTTGCTCGTTAACATAAAATATCTTGTTACAATTATTCTACTATTTGTATTATGATTTAATCACTCATTATAAGCAATATAATATAGCATAGCCTTTCCTCTGCAGCTCGTCTCTTTTTGTACCTTACTATTGTTAGGAAGAAAATCCGGCACTATTTCGGTGTATCGGCGCAACACTAGTCTTATTAAAATGTCAACGTTTATGTCCCCACACTAATTATTCTGACACAATTGTCATGGCGTCATTCATAGCATTCTAACTAATAATGTTTAAAACTATATTTTAAGTATTATCCTGCGCATAGATTTGTTCATTATGACATGATGTCCCTGAACGATGTAATCTGAAGTTACAATAAAGATATCGGTTTAGGTTTCGTACAAGTTCAAAATTTAATATCATCGTTAACAGAATGAGGCGAGCCCAAACGACAGTGTAACGGCCACCGCTCGCAAAGCAAACTCGCACGTCCGTGAGGACCGGCTCTCCAGACTCTAATCATGAAAATGTATTTATGACCTAATTAAACTTCTGTCTACCCTCCGTGCGAGAGGGACAGACTCTTAGCTAACCAACAAGACGGAGCGAGACGGCGCACGGCCCGGGCCGGTGATTAACGAGCGTTATATGGCTGGTTAAGTACCGTGTAATTTGCAAAACGACCCTTAATTACCTTCGAGCACAGCTACCATCTCCGTCCTTATCGGGCGCCGAACGAAGTACATGCGGTAGAAAGAGATAAATAAAAGTGAGTAGGTGGGGCTTTAAGGCGGTATTTAATGAGGCATTATTATGTCTGCCGCGCAGATTAGGTTCACATGGCGCCGAGGATTGTTTGGCCGCTCTTTATATTTGGTTTTGCGCGAGAGGAGCAGCTGTGTCGCCCGCACGCCGCAGCAACGCCCGCCGCAGATGACGTGTTTGTCTCTGCGCTTCTATTTACATAATGTAAAACCTTATTAAACATAATTATACCAACATAATACAGTCATTTGGACTCATCCGAAGCAAAAGCTTGCACCAAGAGTATTCTGAATTTTATGCACAGAGTATAAAGTAGAAAAGTATTCTACTAGAGTCACTTACACAATCGATAAACATATTCTAATCCGAAAATCTCCATTACAGGTATGGTTCCAAAACAGAAGAACGAAATGGAGGAAAAAGCACGCCGCAGAAATGGCGACGGCAAAGCGCAAACAGGAGGAGCTGGGCGAGGAGTGCGAGGGTGATGAAGGCGGCGAGGGGGAGGGCTGCAGCGACGACGACGACCCCAAGCGGCCGCGTCTCGACCTCCTCCACCACATACACCACAGGCAGTGACAGAGCTCGCCGCCTGCGCCGCCACGCAGCGATGTACATCGATTACATAATATCGATACCAAAATCGATTATGATAATCGATACTATACGAGAGTCTGCTCGAGTGAGCCGTGTGACCTGTCCTGGCCAGTGCGGATGGCCAGCAGTGACAGGGGGGCCGAGGTGCGCGACAGAGACGCAACCGCGAGCACCTCAATAGACAGTGAACGTGACTTTAGTAATGATAATAATGATGATAGTCAGCCGATAAATTACGCGTATTACCATTTTTAGGGAGCCTTATTTTATTCCGATGAAATTAATTAGCTTCAATTGTAAGTCTGTATTGTCAAATCACTTCTGTTTAACATATTCTGTTGGGAAAAGCAGGGACTAATACTAATTGTTGCGGCCGCGGAATTTGAAACAAAACAACAGCGTTTTGAAGTGTGTAATTTATTACTGTCCTGTTCAACTTTGCATTGGAAATGAACGCTATATAATGTATCTATTTATTTAAGTGTGTAAATATATGAATAAGTAGTCATGCCACATGTCTTAAGTAAATTATTTTAACTAGTTTTTACATACAAATATTATAATAAGTCAGTATGGGTTTCAACTGTAGTAATATTACATTGACACATATCTTCATCTCTTTATCTTTGAAGAACAACAGACAAGATGTATCAATGTAGTATCACTGCAATAGAAAGCCACACTATTGTATATTTGAATTTAAAAGATTCCCGGTGCCAATTTCCTACGTGTACTAAACTAAATAAAGATCTATAAACATTTAACTCATTTGTAGAAATTATTTTCCAGCTAAAAATACGCAAATGTAGGTGATAATGTTTATTACATTTAGTTATATATTTGTAAATATTGAATTAATGAACAAATCTTATTGTTAATGCGTACAGCAAACTGATGTATATTGTATTTGTTAAGGTATATAATTGTAAATAGATATTTAAACGAATTTAATAAATAATTTATCACAACAGCACGTAGCGAGCTCACAACTATACGTTACATTATATTTTCAAATATGACAATTACCTACAACAACTATGTATTTATTTATTGTTTATTGCAGTACATATATGTTTTGTTTGTCACAAACTTTATAATATTATATTATATTAAATTCAAGCAGCAAAAACATTACTGCTAATATGTTTACTTTGACTAAATTTACTAAATGTATTATTCAATTCAAACCTTTTAAAAGTATTGACTATATATTTATGTCATCTTTTAATGTTAAATGATCCTTATGTATGTAGATTTAACATTACAAATTATTGATTATTGTTTTTTTTAACGTGACATTGAATATTTAAATGACATCTATGAAACTGGAGAGTTGGAGATCTGCGAAATGTGGTTCAAATAAATGGTTAGTAAAAATAAATGTTGTGTTATTTGCCTTTATCTTGTAACATAAGAGAGACTAAAACTGATTTGAATAGCTTCAGATATCACAAAAATAATCTTACTAACGGCTTCGCTAAGGAACTCTGACCTCGCTTAAATTTGGTAGATGTAGAGCATAGTCTAGAAGAACGGATAAGCGACTAATTTAGTTTGTTAGTTGTGCGCGGAGTGCGGGCGACAGATATATAATAACATAGTTCTAATAACTCAGATATCATATATATAAATCTAAAGACATATTGCAAATTGTTAAACACAATTATGGCCATAGTTGCATCAAAAATAACTATAAGAATATTATATTATCTATGGCAGTACAAGTTGACTGTCGTCTTTAGTACCTACTGTAACTTTTCACAAGACATTTATCGAATGCACGACCCGCTCGCCCGAACAACTCGTCTGCTATTATAAAGACGAGTTCACACTGAGCTGTGTTACAAATACATATGTTTAACTATTACGAGGATGTACGGCAAGTATTCCACTGAGCATTAAGCGTTTTAATCCTAAAGCAAACAAAAATTAAAATCATACGATTTAAAAAAAGATTTAACTTTAATATAAGTAAAGCGATAAAATCAATTGCAATGTGATATTGTATAGGTAACAATCTGAATGGTCATCGATATAATTTTTCCATTTATTCCCCAAACCAAACGTGTTTCAATCGTTAGATCGTATCTTACATCTATAACGTAGTGTGTACACCGCCTTATACGTCTATGTGATTGGAAAACCTTCGGAGGCGATCGCGCCCCGACAAAAATCGAGACGCGCAGCCTCGTTGCCATGGCGACCGGCTGCCACCCCACAACACAAAACCAACTACAATCCAAACGAATAGAGTCCAATTTGAAACGATTGAATTGTCTTTGCGAGTTTTCCTTGTAGTTATAAATGTAAAACAAGGTTTTACCGCTCTCATCGAGGGTTGCCGGGCACGGATGGAGGGAGCGGGGGGGGGGGG